GGGATAATGTGCTTGGATGGTAAGGTCATTGAGTGTACTTGATGTTCATGAATTAGGCTTGCTTAAAAATCTCACCTTAAGAGGTGTAGTGAGTTTGGAAAGTTTAATCCCGGCTTGGTGGGATCATATGAGACTTTGAGTGGTGTTGGTAAGGTTGCTTGTGAGCAAGAGTGCTTAGATGAGAACCTCTCCAATCTAGAAGTACCAATTGGGATCTTAGACTGGAAAGTTAAGAAATAAAAGAATGAGAAAGTGCTTCCATGAAAATGTTGAGGAGTGGTATTTTAGTAAGGATGTTAGTTTAAGGTACTTAATTGGGAGGCCAAGGTCCAACGAGATGACCCAATATCCTTATGTCCCCTTCTATTTCTCCTCTAGCCTTAGATGATAAGTTCTCATTGACTCATTTCATGATTTTGGAGTCTTGGATGTTATGTGTGCCCTATAATTTCCTTGTCCCAAAGTGTTTCTTTTGTTAACCTTGGTAGGATTTGGATCCATGACTATTAGACCTCTATTGGTTTTAGAGCCCGGTAAGGTTAAAATGAGCCTTGGTAAAGCTTGAGTTTGTTAGAAAGGAGTAATAATTGAGGTTTTTGTAAAAAAAGAGGCTTACTCCCAAGGGGGAGATCGTGTGCTTGAATAGCAACATTGATTGAAAGTCCCAATATCCTCATCTTTTGTTCTATTCCTATTCTAGCTTGAGACCAAGAGTTCATTTTTGGGCATGTTCTATATCTAGGGGTCATGCGTGTTTTAGAAATTTCCATGATCTCCTTATGTGTTGCATGTTTTTGAAAGATTCTTACTTTGTATAAAATGGATTTTTTCATGATTTACATGTTCCTCATGTTGTTGTGCATTCTGGTATGGAGATGGCATATTTGACTTCATGAGATGATGTGATGAACTTGGTTTGTTGTGCTTTTGGTGAAATGGCACTTGGGCTCCATGTTGATTGTGTTGAGCTTTCTTTTAATGAGAAAATGTCATTCTTCCTATGATTTTGTGATTAATGATGTTTAGAAGTGATGGTATAGGCTCACTCCTAAGGGGGAGATGGTATGCCTAGCTAATATTGTTGTTATGTGCTTATATGTTGGCATGACTTCTTTATATAATGCATGTTCATGAAAACTTGTGTCTTGAAAGAAAATGAGTTCATGTGAATTGTTTCCCTCATGTTGTGGTGCTTTGAGTAAGATTTGCCTATTGTACTTCATGAGAAGAATAAATGGACATGTTTTAGTTAGGAGATGGTAGTTCCTCCTTGAACATGACAAGTAATGACAATCTCATGCATGAATAGGTTGTTTAAATATAGTTCATACTTCCTTGTATTGCATTAATCAAGTTGAATTGGAGTTGATGTTCCCTCCTTGAATGAGCGCACATTGTGAATAGTGTATTTTGAATTGTGCATTATTGTGATGTTTCATGCTTGTTTGGGCTGCTAGTCTTGAGTCTTTAATTCCATTAAGTGTTTCAAGTGTCATTCGAGGAAAAATGCTCCTAAGGGGGAGATAATGTAACACCTCGTAAAAACTAGTAAAACCAAGTTATTGCTTGACAGAATCTAGTAGGTGAAACTAGAGCCTCACATGTGAGTTTGAAGTTGGAAACTTGATTAAATGTTGTTAAATGGTTTCTCGAGTGAAGGTTGAGGAATTTAGGGGTTAAATGTCAAGACATGACTATAATGCCCGAAAACTAGTAAGTTGAACTAGTTAGTCGTAGAGACTTTCGTAGGAGTTTTGGAGTGTCGTATGAGGGTTAAAACTCGACGAAGTGACTCCCGTACTTAGAATGAAATGTTTAGGGGTTAAACGTCCGGGTATGACCCCCCAAGGACCACCCAAGGGATCCTTGAGGAGGACCCCAACATTGTCCAAAAAGCTATCAAAACAGCTTGGAATCACGAGTGGCAATGACGGATCGTCAATGGACCCATGCCTCGTGGGTTGGGGTCGTGGGTCAGGACTTGGTCTAGGGAGTCAGGGCCTCCACTGTTGAGCCTCAGCCATGGACCACAGAGCAACAACACGCTCCGTGAACCCATCCACGTTTGGTGGATGGGGTCCGTGGTTTGGGCGGTATCAAGTGACTTTTAGCTTAAGTGAGTGGTTTGGGAATTAGTTAGCACTACAACATTTTAGGTCTAAGGCCACACTAAATCTGGACAACGCTTGTAAAGAGTTGCCTTAAATATTTTTGGGTACACTTTTAAAGTGTAGCCTTAGTTTTTGGGTTTTGACCACGGTAACATTAGCAATATTTGTCAAGCGTGCTCTTTTGTGGTATAGGCTACATTTTTTAAGCATAGTCATATCATAATATAATTGGCAACGCTTATTTATACTTATGAATACACTTTTAAAGTGTGGTATTTTTATAATTAAAAAAAGAACACTTTTTAAGTGTGGCTTATAGATTTCCTAAAATTTTCACTAAGATATTTTATTCCCTACAACATATTTAACTCTCCCTCTAATTTCCAATTGGCCAAAAACGGAACTCATACAAAAAAAATTAAAAAAAACTCTCAATATAAACTTTAACTCTAAAATCAAATTTGTGCCCCAAATAAGAATAAGAGTTACTATTTGCAGATACCACAAATCTCACGCCTAAACCCAACTTTCTTATTCATCTTCTTTTTCTCATTTTGACTCATGAATTCTCCATTGTAACCAGTTCGTCATTTTTCAAATCTCGTTGTCACTCTACATTTTTCAGTACTTTGATGGATGGTGGTGATTTCCCTAATTTTTCTTCACCTTCATCTAAGAAACTGGAGTAATAGGTCGAAGAAGTTCAACATTTATTGGAGGAAGAAGGGATTTTATGGTAGTCGATACTTGATTCGCCTACATTTGAGAAACTGGAGAAATAGTTTTAAGAATTTCGACATTGTTTTGAGGAATTTGGGGATTTATGGGTGTGGATACTTTGGAGATTTACGGGTGTGGATATGGGTTGTAATGACGAAGATATATTCAATCACTATGCTCATAAATGCCAACCTTCTTCTGTTCATCAGTTTGCCCTGTTGATGGTATTCAAAAATCATAATTTATATGACTGTATTTTCATTTTATGAGATTTTGAATTGTTAGATGCAATTTGAGTTCTAAATAATCTGCACATTTTTGAAATTTGAGTTTCATTATGTTACATATAGTATTAAACTCGGTGTCCATTTAAATTGGTCTGGTGTTCTGGAATGGTATTGTAGATTGTCTTTTGAAATGTTTGTGCTTCATTTCGTTTTCTTTTAGTTTATTTGTGTTTATGTATGAGTTAGTTGCTTTTATTTCGATATAGTATGGACATTAGAGATTGAAATATTTATTTGAAAGCTTGTAAATGTTATGATGAACCAAAGTAGCTCCAAAGTTTTTGTATTAACTAGCAAAGTGATTTCTTTTGAATGTGGGTTGACACCTTTCCTGATTTTATTTGGAAGGTTGCTGGTGTAAATCTTGCCTTGCTAGTTCCATCTGCCAGTGAAAATGCTTTTAGTTTAATCACGGTAAGAAGTGGCTAAAATATTCGTATCACTTTCTTAATTGTTCGCAACATTGTCATATATGCAACCTTTCTGAATACACCTTCTAAAAGGGAATGTAATATTTTTTGGGGATTTATTACAAACTGTTATGGAAGAAGACAAGAAATTATTGGAAACGTACAATTTTATTTTGTTTTTTATATTTGAGAATAATCTAATTTTATTGTCTGTGTTAATGAACAGGAAGGGTCTTTTAAGTATAGTAATAGTGAGTGCATTATGTGCAACACTCAGTACTTTTTCTCCAAATTATAATTTTCTGCTTGCTGTTCGTATTATGGTTGAAGTTGGAGTTGGTGGTGTACCTGTTTATGGATCTTGGTTTCTTGAATTTGTGCCTTCACAAAACAGGGGAATGTGGACGATTATCTGTACATGTTTTTGGACAATTGGAACAATACTTGAGGCTTTATTAGCACCGGTACATTATATATCATTAGGAGTTATCTTCTACATGTCTTTTGGATAAGTTTTTCTTTGATGTTTTCTCACTTATTGATCTTCTATTATATTGTGCCTTCAAATAATATCATCTGCATATAGAAGAAAAACAGAAACAATTGGAAAAAACTGAAGCCCTTTAGCATTTCTTCTTCTGCAAGCATGTACTACTGCACAATTTACTTCTGATTCTTCATGCTGCAAACAATTTTTTTGTTCTAAGCTTGAGGAATGTGCAATGTAGACAAAACAGTAATTGTTGTTAGTTGTCACCAAAATTCTGCTGTAATCTCATATATTCTTATTGGTTGTTATGTTGGAGATGATTATGCCAATCTTGGGTTGGAGGTGGCCACTAGCTTTATCATCTATACCATCATTTGTAGAACTTTTGTTATTTGTATTTACAGTAGAATCTCCTAGATATCTGTGTGCCATAGGTCGAACAAGCGATGCCTGTGATATTTTGAAGAAAATAGCAGTGGTGAATAAGACACAACTTCCTCCTGGAAAGCTTGTTTCTTCCCAACTGATTGAGGAATTGCATTCTCATGGAAAAAACAAAATCTCAAGTGTTAAATCAGGCTTCTCATCCTTACTGGTGCTTTTGTCCCCCGCATTACGTAAAAATACTCTCCTTATATGGGTGGTTTATATTGGAACTAATTCCTCATATTACGCTATTATATTACCGACCTCTCTGTTTAGCAGTGACAATGCCAACACTTGTTAATTGCTTTTCACACGAAGGATGATCAGAGCCTTTATACAAATGTGCTTATCAATAGTCTTGTAGGTAAACCAAATTTCCTTTATTTTAGTCATATTCATCTCAACTAATTAGAGTAAATGATTGTCTTTCATGCACTTAGTATTGATTCGATAACAAGTTGTAAAATATAGATTATCCTACATTTGGGTTCTAGAGATCCCTAGGTTTCTTTTATGGCAGTTATGTATGCTCTATACTTCCTATTTCTTGTACCACTTCTTGCACCTCAACTGTCTGCTTTGACTACTGCCTTGCTATTTGATGCTCGTACTTTCAGCTCCTGAAGCTTCCTCATTGTGGGAAAAATAGGGGCCATGCTTTCTCCTATGTTTCGAAGAGGGTGCAATTGGTAAGAGGGTGACATCAAAGGCTGCAATCAGATGTTTCGAAGCAGTTGTAGTTTTATCAGTAGCCAGTGTTCTGCTCATTTCAGTAGAGACAAAGGGTAGGGAACTATATGATACTCTTGTCATCTAAATGTTTAGACTTATTTCATTTCACATGTATTGAAGTTTTCAAAATAAATTGGTATCATTGTCAATTACTTATGTAAGATTGGACTGAATCAGTGCAATGAAGTTTTACTTGCATGAATAGTTGATCTTGGTCAATTCTTCATTTATGAGCTAGTTTTTGGGTTGAATTGGACACACTGATCATATGTTTGTATTGCTCTAGAGCCAGACCCATTGGTCCTGTTCATGTGTTTCTCAATGTTGCCTTGCCCCCCACTTCCCCGGTGTTATGTTATTCATGCTCCAATTGTATCTAATAGCTTGTCATTTCATTTTTTTATGTTACTTGCTGCAGTCTCTTTGTTCATGGGATCCTTGTAAGAGGCCGACGACAATCGATGCTTTTCGGCATCCTTTGTTCCAGGTGAACAACTCCTTCCCCTTTTTAACTTAATGTACATAATCCAGTGTCTGTCTCTCTATTAAATTATATGATATCATTTGTGATGTTGCAGAGTTGCTTTTACGTACCTCCATCAGTACGCACCAAGGCTGCTATTGCTAAGACTCCTCCTTCTGGTTTGTACTGTCTTCTATATTAGTAGTAAGAAACTTGGGTTTTATGTTGTTACGATGAACTTAGATGAACTTTTTTATTGTTGCTGTTGTGCGGGGTGCAGTGGAGCAGAAGTACAAGTGGTCATTTGGGTTGTTGCACAATCCCAAACCTAGCATCAACTTCTCTACTGTCAAGTCATAGCTGTCGTTTAAAGCAGGTGACGTATAAGAATTTAAAGGATTTTACTGTGATCAAGCTAAATCAGAGGCCTAGTATTCTTTACACTAACCATTTTATATTTTTCTTTCCTGAATTTAACTGTGAAAGAACCATCCATCCTTTTAGCTACACAGAAAAACCTACATTCTTTATTCTGATTCTTATACAATTGTTTCCAACTGAAAACTCTGTGATAGGTGTACAAAGAAAGTTGGATATGAATTATCAGGTATGTTTTCCTTGGAAACAACCTTTTCTTATTTCTCCCATTTGACAGACGAGACAAATGTTGTGGCTAGGCGTAGGTGTATTCTCTAGTGCTGATACATTCGTAAATCTACGCCTGATTCTCGATGTCTTATTGGGAGCAACTTTAAATTATTTCCTGATATCATCTTTGTTATCTATTTTTTCTTTTTTTGTCACCAGGAAATGAGCAAGATTGACATATGATACTCGTAAAAATTTGGCATTTTTTCGTTCATTTACTGCACAGACTATGTTGCTGCTCAGCGGCTTAAGTGAGACATGTTGTTTCTTAAGCTACCTACACTAAAGCAATCTAACGTAGTCATTAATTTCTTTCAGACTCTATCTAGGAACTGGTCTGATTTTATTGTTGTCATCTGAGAACTGATTTATTGATTTAGAAATATGGTGGCATCTGAAATGACTGAAAACATCAGATAGTCCATTTATTCCTAAGGGAAAAGTTTTAGTCAATTTGCTTTTTATTTGGTAGTTTAGATTTGTATTAAATAAGCATGTGGCAAGCTGTTGATAAAAGCGTGCATTGATGTGTTTGGCCTGTTACTTTATTTTTATGGATTGGTTTGGCTTTATTTGAAAGTTCATCTTCATGAACAGAGGCTATCTATTTCTTTTATTTTCAAGTGACCTTGGTTAGTCATTTGAACTCCATTACCTTCCTCTTTTCATTTCGAGTGGGCCACATAGGCATGATACTCATAGAGTTGCCCAAGTATCTTTCACCATTCAAGCATATCATGTCAGTGACTACTCCACACACAACCATAAATTCCTAAAATTTGTATCTATATTCTACTTTAACGGGATATTGAGTTACCCAAATGTAGTTTGTTAGTGATCATTTAAGTGTTTTGTTCTTTTCTCCCATATTTATTATTCATATTTGCCGAAAGAGTCTTGGATTACATGTAGAACAAGGATTTTATAGTTTTTATAACAACAGTTGATTGAAAAATGGATTTTGTTGTAGTTACTTACTGTGACATCGTATTAGCATATGAAATACATGTTTTAATAGGAACTAAGAGTCCTGTTTTTCATGACAGTACCACTACATTGGGAAGGAGCTGGGAAGTATTGTTAAAAATAACTAGTATTGAGCATATTAAATACATGATTTATTTCACTAACTTATAATTTTATTTTGAATGTGCAGGAAAATGTCGGTAATTAAATTTGAAAAGTGGATAGAAGTAAACTCGATCTATTGTAGTGAACGATGAAGAATTTTTGTACTATTGTCATATTTGTTTGAATGCATTTGGTTTTGTGGAATTTATTGATAGTAGAGATCTTTAAGCAATCACTTTCAAAGTATTGGTTGTAGATGACATGTTTCTCAAAGTTTATTTGAAATATATAGTTTCGATTTATTTATTAGCTAATTTTGTGGTTTAGATCACTTATATATATTTAATTATGTGATTATTGAATATATGCAGATAAAAATTATTATTCTTAAAAATGAAAAATTGTGGCTACAAAAATTCTACACAACATTGCCACACTTCAAAAGTGTTGCTATAGGGACGTCCAAAGTGTGGCTTACTGATTACAAATTTTATCTTGTACATAAGAAAAGTTACACTTTATAAGTGTTGTTCTAGATGAGATGTAAAGGCAACACTTTTTAAGTGTGACCAATAACAAAGCAAAGGCCACACTTTTAAGTGTAGTATAATCAAACAAAAGGTGTTGTTAATGAATTACTACAAAGCGTGCCCTTTATACCTCTTTGGCCACGCTTTTTAAGTGTAGCCGCTATGGCGACATTTCAAAAGTGTAGCCTATTGTCAAAGGTTACGCTGCTTTAGGCCACCCTCTAAAAAAGTGTTGCTTAAAGTCCAAAAGTGTAGCCATTTAGCAAAGGCCACACTTTTTGCTAGTTTAGGCTACACTTTATAGAGGTGGCCCTAGGCCTAAAATGTTGTAGTGTAGGTGTTTAATTATTTTAGTATAGGGTCATTTTATACTAATTTAATAGACCTATATAAACTATTTTAAGTCATTAAAACACTTCATTAACTCATTATAACCCAAGACCCCAAATCAAAACCCAACTACCCTTCTCTCCCAAAATCTTCTCTCTAGAAACTCCATTGAAGAACCTAGAAGGAATCCAAGTTAGAGCTTGAAGAAGGAAGATTTTCACTAAGAATTTGGAAGGATTCTAAACCTAAGGTATGTAAGTTCTTCATTCTTGGTTAGCTATCACCAAGAAGCCCCTTCAACTATGTTTTCAAATTCCCCAAATCTAGGGTTTTCAAATCTAGTCATGGCTCTTCTTCCAAAATCAATTCAATTGTTTAATTAAGGTTTATTATGATTGATTTTGATTATTTATGATTGGATTAATGGAGTATTGATGATTTTTGATGAAAATCTCCCTTGGACCCATAATTTCTCCTTCTTTCTAAATTGTGAACTAAGGTGTGACTTGATTGATCATGGAAGCTTAATAATCGATTTTGTTTAGGTTTATTATATTGTATAATCATGTTGTGTCTCTATCTAACATGGTAATTCTATTAAGTTAGGGTTGACTTGATTCTTAGCTTTGAAGGGTAACTTGCTAGGGTTGTATATATTGATGACGATTGTATATGAACTTGTTAATCCACTTGAAAGGTGGAGGTGTTTAATTATGATGTAATTGCATGATCTAAATGTGTTTTACATATATACTTGACTAAACTAAGATTTCTAAGGTGAATTGATATAGTCTAGGGTTGTGCCATGAAAGAGGCTAATTGAGAGTTTAAATGTGATCCTCCAAGAATGATGAAGTTCTCAATGTAATGCCTTAGACTAGATCACCTAAACTTGAATTGGTTTAGGGTAATGCTTATAAACATGAATTGACTTGATCATAATGTCATGTGCATGTTTGTGAATACTTGAAGTATAAAGTGTCAATCATGATGTGATTAATGTATTGATGAGTTTTTGGATCATGGTATTCCCTTATCTATTGTTTGCTATATGTTTGGGATAAGTTGGTCCATAACCCTTGAAGGACATATTGTGAAGGTTTGTGCATGTTGACAAGATTGTGTGTGAACTCATGATTTACTTAGAAGTTGATGGTCCTATGAATATTGGGTATATTTAAGTATTGTTGAAAGGCCATTCTTCCCTTACCCTTACACTTAATTTTGAATGAAGTATCCATTATTATAATGTTGTTGTTGTGTCATTGCAAGGACAATTACACACACTCACACACTCCATGCATAAACATGATCATGATGTATCAATGGTGTTAATTAAAAGTATAGTTTTCATATGTACCTTTACACATTATTATGCATGAAATGTATATGACCATGTTGTTCCTATTGTGTTGATTGAAAGTGCATTGTCATGAGAACACATAATCTTGGTGTGAAAGTTATACTCACATACTAATGTTGATTCTAAGGTTGAAAGTACATCCTCACCTTTAATGAATCTATGAGCTATTTTGATGAATTGTATTGACCGAAGGATAAAGTATCTCCTTCACACATGTAGATAGAATTTAAATACTATCAATGTATAATTTGGGAAATAATGCTTAGCACCGAGTGGATTTGGACAATGAGGTAAAGGCCCTTCCGCTAATGCAATAGGTTGGGTCATCTTAGTGAACTCATGAGATGGGAACTCCTCTGGTAATGCAAGAGATAGAGTTTCTAGAAGCAATCTCCCTATCCCATAACTATGTGCCAGCATAGGACTTAGCTGGTGGATCCACCTTATAGCTATATATTTAGTTCTACCTTAGGCAAGTAGGACACCATCTTTTCAGTGTGGGGGTAGAACACCGGATTCCATGTAGCTCACATGGTCTATGTCGGTTATGGCAACTTTTCCCTAAATAATAAAGATAATGAATGTAACATGAATTATACTATGACTTCTTAATGAGATTTACTTAGTAGGAGTGGGGGTATGAGACTTCACTTCTACATTGCATATGTAGACTTAGTAGGATGTCATATGATGGTTCCTTTGCATTATGATGAGATTTGAATGAATGCATGTATATTGGATGAATAGTTGTTATGAATGACTTGCCTTTAAATTTAAGTAATGTACATGAATATTTCCTTATTTGTGATTATTGAATATAATGAGGTCTAAAGATGAAGTGCATGACCAAGGTAGCTTCAAAGGGGTGCTTGGTGGGGTTGGTATTATGGGATGCCAACCACACATTGCACAAGTGTTCCTTAGGGGTTACCAAGGCAATGTATTTAGTATAAAATGAGTATGAATATGATATTGGCTTGTGTTGTACATTGTAAATGCATGTTAGTTACCATACATTGCACAAGTGTTTTCTTAGGGGTTGCTCATGTGATGATTACTTAATGATGAGATGATCTTGGTATTTGACTTGTATTACCCTGTAATTGGAGGCTATGTATTGTGAAGATTGGGATTTTTATTGTGTTGATATTGGAAACTATACTTGTTATTATAATGATATCCTCATGTTGTAATGAAATATATGTGAGTTGCCTTATTGGTTGCATTCTCCAACTAT